CAAGGGAGTCGGCAACAGCGGGTCCCAGAGAGGTACCCGGGCCACGTCTGTGCGTTTGCTGCGTGGCAGCGTCGCGAGAGTTCCGCCTATCGCCGGATCTCCCGCAACGCCGCCGCCCTAAAAGCGTTGACGTTATAGGGCGACGAGGTGGTGAGCGGGGCTGAGGCCTGGCCCCAGTGATGGGTTGGTGGTGGTGAGCGGGGCTGAGACCCCAGCTCCAGTGATGGGTTGGTGGTGGTGAGCGGGGCTGAGCCCTGGCTCCAGTGATGGGTTGGTGGTGGTGAGCGGGGCTGAGACCCGGCCCCAGTGATGGGTTGGTGGTGGTGAGCGGGGCTGAGGCCTGGCCCCAGTGATGGGTTGGTGGTGGTGAGCGGGGCTGAGACCCCGGCTCCAGTGATGGGTTGGTGGTGGTGAGCGGGGCTGAGACCCTGGCCCCAGTGATGGGTTGGTGGTGGTGAGCGGGGCTGAGACCCCAGCTCCAGTGATGGGTTGGTGGTGGTGAGCGGGGCGGAGGCCCCAGCTCCAGTGCTGGGTTGGTGGTGGTGAGCGGGGCTGAGACCCTGGCCTCAGTGATGGGTTGGTGGTGGTGAGCGGGGCTGAGACCCCAGCTCCAGTGATGGGTTGGTGGTGGTGAGCGGGGCGGAGGCCCCAGCTCCAGTGCTGGGTTGGTGGTGGTGAGCGGGGCTGAGCCCTGGCTCCAGTGCTGGGTTGGTGGTGGTGAGCGGGGCTGAGACCCCAGCTCCAGTGATGGGTTGGTGGTGGTGAGCGGGGCTGAGACCCTGGCCCCAGTGATGGGTTGGTGGTGGTGAGCGGGGCTGAGGCCCCAGCTCCAGTGCTGGGTTGGTGGTGGTGAGCGGGGCTGAGCCCTGGCTCCAGTGATGGGTTGGTGGTGGTGAGCGGGGCTGAGACCCTGGCCTCAGTGATGGGTTGGTGGTGGTGAGCGGGGCTGAGACCCTGGCCCCAGTGATGGGTTGGTGGTGGTGAGCGGGGCGGAGGCCCCAGCTCCAGTGCTGGGTTGGTGGTGGTGAGCGGGGCTGAGCCCTGGCTCCAGTGCTGGGTTGGTGGTGGTGAGCGGGGCTGAGCCCTGGCTCCAGTGATGGGTTGGTGGTGGTGAGCGGGGCTGAGCCCTGGCTCCAGTGATGGGTTGGTGGTGGTGAGCGGGGCTGAGACCCCGGCTCCAGTGATGGGTTGGTGGTGGTGAGCGGGGCTGAGACCCCGGCCCCAGTGCTGGGTTGGTGGTGGTGAGCGGGGCTGAGCCCTGGCCCCAGTGATGGGTTGGTGGTGGTGAGCGGGGCTGAGACCTGGCTCCAGTGATGGGTTGGTGGTGGTGAGCGGGGCTGAGGCCCCAGCTCCAGTGCTGGGTTGGTGGTGGTGAGCGGGGCTGAGCCCTGGCTCCAGTGATGGGTTGGTGGTGGTGAGCGGGGCTGAGCCCTGGCTCCAGTGATGGGTTGGTGGTGGTGAGCGGGGCTGAGACCCCGGCTCCAGTGATGGGTTGGTGGTGGTGAGCGGGGCTGAGACCCCGGCTCCAGTGATGGGTTGGTGGTGGTGAGCGGGGCTGAGCCCTGGCTCCAGTGATGGGTTGGTGGTGGTGAGCGGGGCTGAGACCCCGGCTCCAGTGATGGGTTGGTGGTGGTGAGCGGGGCTGAGCCCTGGCTCCAGTGATGGGTTGGTGGTGGTGAGCGGGGCTGAGCCCTGGCTCCAGTGATGGGTTGGTGGTGGTGAGCGGGGCTGAGACCCCGGCTCCAGTGATGGGTTGGTGGTGGTGAGCGGGGCTGAGACCCCGGCCCCAGTGCTGGGTTGGTGGTGGTGAGCGGGGCTGAGCCCTGGCCCCAGTGATGGGTTGGTGGTGGTCAGCGGGGCTGAGCCCTGGCCCCAGTGATGGGTTGGTGGTGGTGAGCGGGGCTGAGCCCTGGCTCCAGTGATGGGTTGGTGGTGGTGATCACCGTGCAAGGGCTCGCCGTAGGGTTGCGGTGAGGCTACGGTGCGGGAGACGCAGGCCGAATCAGCCGTTGCACTGCATCTCTATGGCTCCCGCGTCTGATGCTCCCACCCACCTTCACCAACCCGCACCGACCGTGGTCACAGTGAAGTATGGTCAAACAACCCCCCACAACGACTGCGGCGATGTCGGTAGGTCTTCGTCCAGCAGAGGACTGACAAAGGGACTATAAAATTAGACGTTGTTATTATTTTAAAGCGTAACTTTCAATGGCTGCATTGCGAGGTTCCGCCTGTTTCCACCGTAGGCACGTTGAGCCGGCAGCAGGAATCTGCACCGCGCAGGAAGCCACAACCCATGCCAGGGTAATACCAGGGGCGCCACGGTGGCGAGATGTTAACTCCCTCACCCGGTATACAGGAATTCGTGTTGGCTCGATCCCGACCCTGGCGCCTGCTGTATATTTCGAGTTTGCATGTTCTCCCCGTGGTCACGTGGATGTTTGTCCATTCACTTTGTCAACTTGTTTCGAGTGATTGGCTGCTATAAGTATCCCCATGATAAGCCCCTTCGTTGAGCTATCATTTGTGGCTTGGTCGCTTTTGAAAAGGAGATACAGTATAGCTCAGTCGGTCTGAGTTTAGTATATTTTTATAGGAGGTAATGGCTGATGGTCTGCACAGACTTATGAGGAACCCTCTTGCTATGCTGCCACCTACTGACCAAACTGTAGACTGGCAGGCTTAAGGAAATGCAGATTGCGCACTCGCTGGACATACACAAATATTCAGAAGCGCCAAAAAGACTCCTTGGCCTTGACCAGGGGTCGGAAACCAAAATAACAAGAAGAGACATATTTTTTTTCCTGAAAAAAAAAACCCTGAAAATTTCAAGAGCTGCAATGCACGTGAAAATACAAGACGGTGAGTCTTTAATAAATACCGTCTCACAAAGCAGTCCTTAAAGAGCCGAACGCGGCCCCAGAACCGCAGGTCGCCTACTCCTGCCCATGACCAAATCTTCGGCGGGCTCTCCGGCCTCGTGAGCTAAGCAGGCCTGGGCCTGGATAGCGCTTGGACGGGTGACCACCGTGCACAGACAGGGAGGTTGCCACCGGCTTGCGTAGTTACAGCGTGGGCATCGGGGTGGCAGTGCCGCAAAACCCGACGTTGTCATACACTGCACTCCTACGCTGCACACATCTCGGCTCCCCGGCTTCACCAACCCGCACCGGAGTGCGAAGGTGGCAGCAGCCTTCGCGCGTGGCCCCACCCCCCCCGGCCCACCCCCCCCGGGCCCGCCCCCCCCCGGCCCACCCTCGGCCCACCGCCCCTGGCCCACCCCCCCCGTCAAGAGAGAACTCACGACCGGTGCCATTGTCAACCCGGCGACCGGACACGACCAAGGTCTCCGGGGTGAAACAACTCACCGACCGTAAGGCACCGGACGGCGCGGCGAGGTTCGTCCCCACAACCCCCCGCGTGACTCGCATGGCGCGGGCGGAGGGTCCTCATCCGGCAGTGGATTGGCAAAAATGCCGTGCACGCGCGGTGTGAGGTCTTGTTATTGGCAGCTCTCGTCCGTGGGATGGCATCTGAGCATAGTGAGAAGGCGTCGAGAGGCTCGTGGCCAAGCCGCCCGCTTGAACATCGACCAGGTTCCCCGTGACATCGCGAGTCATGGCCGAGGAAAACGTACAGTCCCTTCTCCTGTAATGCGGTAGTTGTAGCGTTCCTGAAGAACACCGCGTGATGGAAAAATCGCGTTATAATAAATAATATAGGGGTAAAGCACGGTCCGCGATAACGCGTGAGATGCGTACGCAGGATGAACAAAGACTGAGGCACGTGCGGAGCATCTAGAAGCATCCAGCAGTATCCCACCTTGCGCGATGCCACGCCGAGGCAGCCGTAGGACTGCTTATTGCTACTCGCGCAACGTAGTTCCGTTCACTAAAATCGCGTTACATCTAATTCCCATCCGCGTGATAAAAAAAGTGTTCCCTAATACATTCAACTCGTTACATCCAATTCGCGTTATTAAAACTACGCGTTATAGGACGGACTGTACTTCCTCGTTCAAGCGAGGATGGGGGGGCGACACTCTGCTGGTAGCCCTGAGCCAGTGCTGTAAATTCCACATTACTGTGCCAGCGGGGAGGGCAGTCTTTCCGCAGGAGAAGCAAACGGCTGCCATTAAGACGAAGGTCACGCGGTCACGCGGTCATTGTCTGACGAAGCGGCACCATCGCCCCATTATGCCGCTAAAACCTTCAGCAGTTGCAGTCGGTATCTGATCTCCAGGACCTGCTCCGACAGTCTCACCACCACCACCGCCACCACCACCGCCTGGCTTTAGGTCTTCTCTTCCTCGAGGTCTCGATAAGCTTCCCACCACCACCCCCCCTCCACCCCGCACACGTGTCTCACCCATCACAACCTCCCCCTCTTCCTCCAGATCACATCAACAGGGCTCTCCTGCCGCGGTCTATTTCCGCACGTGTGTGCCAACACGCCGCCAGCCAAAATGTTAACGAGATGCCCTGACTGCAGGAAGGGAGTAGGTGGTCTCTATCTACCTCCATTAGTCTACGATCTCCATAGGTAATCCAAACAAAGCAATGGATATGGAGAACGTGACAAAATAAATGAGTAGACAATTAACCTCCTGCAAACATGTCCCTAAACGTACAAAAATCACAGGATTTTCACACATCCCATCAGCCACACATCCCATCAGCTACACGGCCCTCTGAGAGTACAATAATTTCAGCAGCATTGGTTCAACACGAGCCAAACAGTTTGCAACATTCAGTGACTCATCAGCATTGGAGGCTCTCTTGATCCAATGCTGCTATCAAAGCCGCATGGCCGGTGTGCCCCCGCATCGTGCGCAGTCGAGCGTTCACGTTCCCAGCCGCGCCGCTTTGCGCTCACCCACGTCGCTTACCACGTCCCACCCTGAAATTCCCCCAGCGTGCCGTGCGCGCAAAACCGGCAGCAGCAGTAACGGCAGCCGGCGACGATGACGTCGCCGCCGCCGCCGCCGCAAGGGGACAAACCTGCGTGGGGCTCCGCCAGGGTGCTCCCCAAGCCCAGCAGGTCGGCTTCCTGGCCCCACGGCCTTAACGCCGACGCCGGAACCGAGGACAGGCCGCCGAGCGACGGCGCGTCCGCGGGCTTGGCCGTGGCGTCCCGCCGGGCAGACCATACCGACTCCAGCGATTCGAGGTCCATGAGGTTGTCCGCGATGATGAGGGGCGCCGCAGCGGACGAGGCGACGTGTGAGGGTGCGGGAGGAGGAGGGGGGGGGCAGCCCAGGCCGAGCAGGTCGGCCTCGGCCACCGCGCCGCACGCCATTTTTTGGCGGTACGGAGCCGCCCAGAGGAAGCCGTCGACAGGAGAAGCGCAGCTGTCCTGTTTGCGGGCTGCAGACAGACGCACAGACGCACGCACGCACGCACGCGGTTCCCATGCACAAGCGTACAGATGTGCGCACGTGTACGGACGTGCGTACACACGTACGGATGTGCATGCGCACGTAGAGACATGCAGGTATTCATGGACTTTTGCAATTTGTACTTCGTATTTATTTTTAGTGATTTGCTTATGTTTCCTATACTTTGCATTCCTATCAGTTTTGTCTCCTTTGTTGTGGTAATTTTCTGCCCCCATGTCGCTACTAGACATCTGTGAAAATGTGCGAGTCACCGACCTGCGATGGCTTTCACCGTCTCGGTTAAGAAGGTCTCCGTGTCGAGGTTCGGAGGCATCTCCAGCACGAGCTCCTCCCCTCCACTGCTGCAAGACACCTTCATCGTGTTCGCTACAAAGACAAGACAAAGATCCCCCGTATGGCTTTAACAGACTGTTGGGGCAAGTGCTGTTAGCGAGTAGCACCTATGAAGGCCGGCACGGCACACAATGGGAGTGGGTGGCTAGCACAACGCCCGGCTGCCTTTGTCTCCCTAGTGCCAATGTTTACATATCACACGAAGTAATGATTTTAGGCTGAGTTGACCTAGGGGAGGCCCAGGATCGGTTCAGATAATCGTCACTGGTGTTGGCCATGAACGGGAATCGAACTCGGGCGGCGAGGTTCGTAGCGCAGCGCGCTAACCGCTACACTAACGCTCCGCAAGCACGCGCACGTACGCCCAGCGTCTGTGAGAGCCGCGACAGTATGTACGTATGTGGAATTTATTTTTCACCATACGTAGCCAACTGTGCTCATCAGCGGTGCAGGTTAACACTTCCCCGTTCCAAGATGTCTGCAAATTGCACGGTGGGTGTCCCGTTCACCGCTGAAGCTCGGAACACCCAAGTGGCTCAGCGTTAATTTTATTTAGAGGCGTAGTAGCGCCGTTATCTTCAAAGACATTGTTACTCGCCGCAGCGAACTGTAGCGACACGACCGTCGCACTCTACGACAACTGGTGCCAAACTGTGCCACACGCCCTCCCGCATGGCCTTGTGGGAGTCTCGGTACCGATAGCTACTTTATTTTAAAAACTCATGACGTAAACGTACATCATCGGAACTGGAAAAGGTTAGCCACTGGGTCAGCGCTCCACCCCATCTCGTTACGAGTTCACGGTCAAACAAGGGGAGGGGACACGCATCCTCAACGGGCTCTCGACAGGCACCACGGTGGCTAGATGTTCACTACCTCACCTGGTATACAGGAGGACGTGGATTCGATCTCCACCCTGATCCCTGCTGTGTATTGGAGTTTGCGTGTCTCTCTTTCATCATCATCACGGTGGCTAAGATATGTTTACTACCTTGCCTGGTATACAGGAAGTCGAGGGTTCGATTCTGACCCTGACACCAGCTGTATATTTGGAGTTTGCGTGCTTTCCCTCCCGTGGTCGTGTGTATTCTTCTCAGGGACCTTGGGTTTTTCCCTCCACATTTAGAATCAACATCACGTGTTTACAGTATTTGGCTGCTATACATTTCCACGTGATGATAAGCCACTTCGTTGAGCTATCATTTGTGGCCAGCTCACTTCTGAAAAAGAACTACATAGCTAAGTGGGCCTCATCTGGTAAGATAAAAATAGTTAATTTAATTACTCACTGGGCCGTCACAGCGAGTCCCTGCCCGAGCGAGCACCGCGGCATTGGCGCTCATCTTCAACGTGTAACCCTGAGCCATTGGTGGAAGTTCCACGTTACTATGGCGAGGATGAGTCTCACCGCTGTTGAATTCCCCACAAAGTGGTACTGTATTTATTCACCCTTCAAGGGATGATGATTCGACGACAAACCAGGGTGTGAACTCGCAAATTTACGATTGGAAGGTTGGCAGCGAGCTGGCCAATTTGTCGAGGATCCGATATCACGATTGTCTAGGATCTGAAATAACGATTGCCTAGAATCTGATATCCCGATTGTCTAGGACCTGATATCACACATTTTTAGGATCTGATATCACGAATGTCTAGGAACCGATATCACGATCGTCTAGGATCTGATATCACAATTGTCTAGGAACCGATATCACGATTGTCTAGGATCTGATATCACGATTGTTTAGGATCTGATATCACGATTGTCTAGGATCTGATATCAATATTGTCTACGATCTGATACCAAGAATGTCTAGGATCCAATGTCACGATTGTCGAGGATCACATATCACGATTGTCTAGGATTTGATATCAAGATTGTCCATAAATCCGATATCACGATTGTCTAGGATCTGATATCACGATTGTCTAGCATCTGATATCACGATTGTCGAGGATCCGATATCACAAATGTCTAGGAACAGATATCTGATATCACAAATGCCACAGAACCGATATCATGATTGTCTAGGATCTGATATCATGATTGTCTAGGAATAAATATCACGATTGTCTAGGATTCAATATCAAAATTGTCTAGGATTCAATATCATGATTGTCTAGGATCCAATATCACGATTGTCTATGATCCAATATCACAATTGTCTAGGATCTGATATCACAATTGTCCCATGCATGTAGAACAGAACGTACAACTAACCTAAGCCCCGAAGGTAAAATAAGCAACAATATTTGTTTATTTTATTATATTCTCCACAATGACAACAATGACTAGGTTGCTATAAATTTCCACATGATGATAATCCACTTAGTTGATCCATAATTTGTGGCCAGGTCGCTTCTGAAAAAGCGCTATATAGCTCAGTGGACCTTATCTGGTTAAATAAAAAAGTTTAGTTTTAGTTTAAAGAAATTATCTTGTAAGAGTTATATCTGCTCTATGGCGACACGACCTCCGCGCTACCCAATAGGTGGGCGACCACACGTCCACATGACCTCCGGTCTACCAATAGGTGGACAATCACACGTCCACACAATCACCGCACTACCCAATAGGTGGGCTTCCACACGACCTCCGCGCTATCCAATAGGTCAGTGTCCACATGACCTCTGCGCTACCCAATAGGGGGCAACCACATGACTTCCGCCCTACCCAATAGGGGGCGAACACACGTCCACACGACCTCCGCGCTACCCAATAGGGGGCGAACACGTCCACATGACCTCTGCGCTCCACAAATCCACGAGAGACACTGCCCACACGCGCTCACAGTGCCCGCGCGACACCCGCACCTGGTCTCCACGGTGAGGGTGGGTCGCAGTTCTGAAGCTAGACACACGGATACCATGCTCGACATAGCTCACCATCCCTCCGGGGTCGATACAGAGAGTACCGCTAAATAGTGGTTTTCCTACGGAGAGACTTGCCAGCGCCGTAGGGACGTGGAAATTCCACCACTGGCTCTGCCAGGAGATAAGAACTGATGCCTCAATGCTCATTCGAGTGGGAAATCGCTTTGGGCTTGACCAAGCTTGCATTGGCGAATAAATATCGGGTGTGCGGGCGGCTGCACTGCGGGGGGCCTCATGGGGTCATGGGCCGCATGAAGTGAAGTAGTGGGCCGTGTCTGGCCCACCTTGTCGCAAGTTCCCCCGTCCTACTTGAGATTAACTGCTATGGAATGCGTCAATAGACAGACCACCTCTAGTTATGAGCAGGCAAGAGCTCGCTGCGAACAAGTATCGACTGCGAGGGAAACCTAGGTTTAAATAATAATCATATATAATTTACAGGCCTTTGTCAATCCACCGCTGGATGAAGGCATCCCCATGCCGTGCCAGCTATGGGAGATGTTTGACCAGCTATGGGAGATGTTTAACCAGCATTCTTCACTGTGCTGGTCAGAGCGGGCTGGTGGACGGAAGGGGAGCCAAGACCAGAACAGACATCACTCGCCACTGATGTTTAGATGTGGCTGGGAATCAACATCAGGTTGCTGGCTGCATCGTGCCATGCGCGAACCACTGTGCTACCACCCCCCATTCCCCGTCTCATCACAGGTTAAAATACAAAAAATGTAAATGTGTATTAAAAACATAAAACAACACTAATTCCACACTTTCACACACGATTGAAACTTAAAGATGAAAGAATACATCTTCAAGAGTATCAAGCGTTTATCGCAAGGGTCACCACACGTTGTGCACACACTCTCGTTGTTCCTGTCATGACCCACCGGACTGTCTCTTCGTGGGAACCCAGCGGCTGCTGGGACAAGTCCCTGCAAAGCCGACTCAGTAAAAGCTATATGTTTTTAAAATTCTCATTTGCCAAGGAGAAGCCTCGGGGCCTATAACACCGAGTGTCAGCCACAAGAGAAGTTACCTCTTTCAAAAATACCTGCCAAGGCACTCCTTGCTAGGCCTTGCTAGGCCTCGCTAGGCCTTGCTCCTTGCTAGGCCTCGCTAGGCCTTGCTCCTCGCTAGGCGTTGCTCCTCGCTCGGCCTTGCCCCTCGCTCGGCCTTGCCCCTTGCTTGGCTTTGCACCTTGCTACACCTTGCCCCTTGCTAGGCCTTGCTCCTTGCTAGGCCTTGCTCCTTGCTAGGCGTTGCTCCTTACTCGGCCTTGCCCCTTGTTAAGCCTTGCCCTTTGCTTGGCCTTGCTCCTTGCTCGGCCTTGCTCTTTGCTCGGCCTTGCTCCTTGCTCGGCCTTGCTCCTTGCTAGGCCTTGCTCCTTGCTCGGCCTTGCTCCTTGCTCGGCCTTGCTCCTTGCTCGGCCTTGCTCCTTGCTCGGCCTTGCTCCTTGCTAGGCCTTGCTCCTTGCTCGGCCTTGCTCCTTGCTAGGCCTTGCTCCTTGCTCGGCCTTGCTCCTTGCTAGGCCTTGCTCCTTGCTCGGCCTTGCTCCTTGCTAGGCCTTGCTCCTTGCTATGCCTTGTAGGCCAGAAACTACAGGGTCTACTGAGAGCGGAATACTCACAAGAGCCTATTTATTGTCGCGTGTTTTCCCAGGAGTCAGTTAATGAGCATTTTTGCATGCGAGAGAAACCTGGAGTGCCTATAGAAACCCCACACATTCAAGGGGATAACCCTTACAGGTTCGCAGCCTGGCTGTTTGTAAAAAAATAAAAGTATCCTACTCGTGAACGGGGATAACAATGCTGCAAAACAACCTAAGAATCACAACACACGGCAGCAGTGGTGGCTGTTAATAAGCAGGCCTGATGGAAAATGTGAAACTAATCAAGCTATATAAGTACATTTTAATTGATAAGTTAACGTATTTTTATATTACAATTTCACTTTCAACATCCTTTGAGATGGAGCATCTCAATGGTATCCACACATAGCAAACACGGGGTGACACGTGTCCACACCTCCATTATACACACCTATACAAACTCATACATACACATGTACATAGCAAACAGGCGGTGACACGTGTACACACCTACATTATACACATACCCCCATACAAACTCATACATACAAACGTACATAGCAAACACATAATGACACGTAAACACACAAAGATCGCCCGTGTAGCCTTAACAATTGGGGTCAGTGCTGTGAGCAAGCACCTATTAAGACCGGCATGGCAAATGAGGAGGTGGGTGGCCAGCACCACGCCTGGCCACCTTTGTCTCCCGAGTGGCGATGTTTACACATCGTACCAGGTACTCATTTGAGGTTGAGTCAACCTAGGGGAGGCTCAAGACCGGTTCAGATAATCGTCACTGGTGTTGGCTGTGAGCGTGAATCGAACTCGGGGTACAGGGTTTTGGAGCTCAGTGCGCTAACCACAGCCCCCCACACACACGCAAGACAGCACGTTACAACACGTATACACACACAATGTATATATATCACTTATACAGTGCGCATTTACACAGTGAACATTTATAGAGTGACTATCACACCCAATCAAACACATGAGTAACAAGTAACACACAAAAAAACACATTGGCCAATAACAGTGGCCTTCAAAAAATATGCGACGGTTCAGGCGATGGTCCATCTTCACAGCACAGAGGCTAAAGTGGTCGTCACACAAAGACCTCCCGTATAGCTTTAAAAGACTGTTGAGCCAAGTGCTATTAGCAAGTACTTATGAAGGCCGGCACGGCACACGAGGAAATGGTTGGCCGGCACCACACCCAGCCGCCTTTGTCTCACCAGTGGCGATGGTTACACATCACACCAAATACTCATTTGAGGCCGAGTAAACCTAGGAGAGGCCTAGGACCAGTTCAGATGTTGGCCGTGAGCGGGAATCGAACTAGGGTTGCCGGGTTCGTAGCGCAGCGCGCTAACCACTACACCACCGATACCCACCCCCCCCTTGTCACACATACAACTGTAACATTTACAAACCTTGTGCAATTGTGTTTAAATTGCCTATGGCACAGTGGTCCACCTCCGATTAGCACGGTTGGCTACGTACGGTGCGCGTGCCTTCCTGCTGACAATTAACGGTCACATTCAGTTGGGATCTCGTTGGAGGGGATTCGCAACACACGATATGTGTTCCATTCAATTAAAACACTCCAGTCATGACGTTCCACTGATACGTACGTACCTCTATTCGCCCTTGGTCCAGTCTCTTCTGCAAGAAAACAACATCAGCGTTCAGCCATCGGGAAAACTCTCCATCTATCGTAGTCATAAGCGATCAATCAATTAATTTACCGCTCGTTTTGTCAACCCACTCCTGGATGATGAAGGCCTCCTCCACACACCAGTAACAGAGGGGTGATTGACCATACTTCACCACGTTGGTCAGTGTGGGATGAAGGGCGTTGGGCAGCCAGGTACCGATTCAGATATAGCATTCGCCACTGATGTTAGCCGGAGCCGTGGTGGCGAGATTTTAACTACCTTGCTCGATCTAGAGGAGGTTGTGGGTTCAATCCTAACGACTGTATATTTGGAGTTTGCATGTCTCTCTCTTCCTTTGGTCGCATGGATTTTTCTCTGTGTCCTGCGGTTTTTCCATCCACATTTAGAATCAACACGCGTTTAGAGTATTTGGCTGCTATACATTTCCACATAAGCCGCTTCGTTGAGCTATCATTTGTGGCCAGGTCGCATCCGAAAATGAGCTATATAGCTCAGTGGGTCTTACCTGGTAAAATAACAAATAGTTTAGTTTATTTGTACTCGGGTAGCCGGATTCATCATGCAGTGTGCTAACCGCTGCACCGCCACCAACCCCCCCCCACAGCGGTGGTAAGCGCATCACGCTGAACCACTGGAGACTCACCGAGCAGCAGGGCCCTGCACTGCTCCGTTTCTCCAGCTCCGTACCGAAGTGCGTGGGAATATCCCAAGTGCACAAGCGGATTTAAAAGGGTGTTCACGTCTTACTCCTTAAAACGTATACGGGACAGTGCTCCTCTGAGCTATTGGTGGAAATTCCACGTTCCCATGGTAGGTACTGCTATCTGTTGAACAACCACTCGTCAAAGAGTAGTTCCGATTTATATTGACCCCAGATGGATGATGTGACACGTCAACCCCAAACCGGGTTGTGAAATCAACCAAGTTGACCAGAAGGTCACCTGGGCAACAGCTCTCAACAATCACAACAGTTAGGCCAGCACCCTGCTCCCTGTGCTGCTATCTAATCTACACACGCCTGCGCAGACAGTACAATGACAAATATCCCCCGTGGAGCCTTTAACTGACTGTTGGGCCAAGTGCTGTTCGCGAGTAACACCCATGAAGGCCGGCACGGCACGCGATGGGGTGGGTGGCCATCACCATGCCCGGCCGCCTTTGTCTCCCCAGTGCTGATGTTTAGACACTGCACCAGTCACTCATATGACGTGGAGTCGACTTAGGGGAGTCCCAGTACCGGTTGAGATAGCCGTCTCTGGCAATGCCCGCGAGCGGGAATTGAACTCGGGCCGTAAGCGGGTTCGGAGCGCAGCGTGCGAACCGCTGCTCCCCAGTGCATAGACACAATACACAAGACACGCTCGCACACCGCCACCACCAAGCAGAACATTCGCTCGCACGCGCAAGCGCAGCACATCGTCCGCGCGGATGCTTAAGAGCGTGTCCGTTGGTCACTGGCGCTTTGCGAGCAGAAGCGGCGTCGGGTAGACTGAGCCAAAACCTCACCAGCGGAGAGCGAGAAGGAGCCGTCGACCGGCATCAGCCACTCCAGTCGCAGCGCCTTGCTCCCCGGCAATGTGTGGTTGAGCGAGTAGACGAAGAGCCTGCGACAAACGGCGGGTGGCACGTCGTGACGCTACGGGCGGCGGCAGCACAGCAGCGGCGGACGCACGCACCTCGTGCCAACGAGGGTTCTGTGTTCGATGCCCCGGCTTGCGTGTGGCGTGTGGAGTTTGTACGTTCCCTCCCCCCTGATTTGCGTGGGTTTGTTTCACCCCCGGGTTCTCCAGTTTCCTCCCATAGCTAAAAAAACGCACAATGTAACCGGCGTTGACCCTCACATCGCAATGCTAAAATTCATACAGATTGCCCAACTGGGAGTCTTAAGACTCGGCGAGGCTTTCCTGGGTAACAAAGCACCTCCGATTAGCACGGGTGACAGTCCGAAAGAAATTAAACATACACACACACAAGCGTACAAATAAAACCAAACTAACAAGTTGTAAATCATCATCATCATCATAATCAGCAGGCCGCCATAATTAACCCACCGCTGGATGGAAGACTCCCCAAAAGGAGGTGACACACGGTGACGATGCGGCGAGGAACACGGTGACACAGCAAGACACGGGTGGTAGCTGGTGGCACGGTGTCAGAACTCACGCGTGCTTGTCCCCGGAGCACACCAGGGCACACACGTGGGAGACCTGCCCGCCGAGCTTGGAGGCCTTGGTTGCGTGCACAAACATTAAGGAGCACACAGCATCCCTCACCAAAGACGAAGATCGCACCCCACCCCCCTGTAGCCTTAACAGACTGCTGGGGCAAGTGCTGTTAGCGAGCAGCACCTACGAAGGTCAGCATGGCACACGAGGGGGTGGGTGGCCAACACCACGCGCCCCGCCGTCTTTGTCTCCCCAGAAGCGATGTTTGCACATCGCACCAGGTCCTCATTTGACGCTGCGTCGGCGTAGGGGAAAGCCCATGCCCGGTTCACATAATCGTCACTGGTGTTGGCCGTAGGGGAAAGCCCATGACCGGTTCACATAATCGTCACTGGTGTTGGCCGTAGGGGAAAGCCCATGACCGGTTCACATAATCGTCACTGGTGTTGGCCGTGAGCGGGAATCGAATTCGGCAGCTTAGCGCAGCGCTAACCGCAACTCGACCGCTCCGCACACACCACCACCACCTGCAGCACCGCAAGCACCGCAAGCACTCCCCACGCCCCCATCAAGACCCAGTGCCACCACCTTAACGTTGAGCTATGTAGCTCCTTTTCAGATGCGACCTGGCTGCACGAATGACAGCTCAACGAAGAGGGTCATCATCGTGTGGACAGCCAATTACTCTAAACGCGTGATGATGTTGATTCTAAACGTGGCCCATCCTAGCACCGTCCAGGCTCAACCCAGCTTAGCTTCCGAGCTCTGTCGAGATCGGGCGCATTCCGGCGTTACCCATCATCGAGTGTCATGCACTTCCTGCTGGAGGCCAGTCAACCGAAACGTCGAGATGTCACTCATTCTCTCTGCGGGCGCAACAATAATACCACTTTCCTCTTGGCCTGCACTGCCATGGAGCCTATTACCCCAGGGTAACCTAATCATGGCAAACCACCAATGTTAACCCTGTCGTGGTTAAACCGTGGTAGCCTGCGGACTTAACGCCGAGGTAACCTCCCGGAGTAATCGGTGTGAGGGTAACGAATGAACAAGTGGCAATGACCCCTCACGGGGTAACCTGTCAGAGTAGCCAGTGTACACGTGGCTAGGATAGCCCATCAGAGGAGTAACTCGTTATATAATGTCAAGCGTAGCCCGCGAAAGTTACCCCGGAGTAATCCACGTCGGATGTTAACCCGTGTGGATGCGAGGGCAAGTGTCAGGGTAACTAAGTATGAGGTCAACCCGCATCGGGATAACTTCCCTGTACTTTACATGATGCCCAGATCACCGTTGCTGCATCAAGGATTTCAGGATCTATATTTATACCTAGAGGAATCCGTTGAGCTATGAAGCTCTTTGTTTCACGGACGTCCAATTTGGGGGCGGGTCAGCAAGTTACAACAACACCGCGGGTAACCCGTGGCCGTTGCCACGGGTTACCCAGGGGGTAACTCGTGTTGCCCTCGGTTGCCGGGGTAACCGGCGTTGCCCTGGGTTACCCCGGAGGGTCAACCCCGCCGCGCGTTGTGCTGAAAGGATATGGCGAGGCACCGGGCCGCTCCGCTCAGCGTCGCCTTCACGAGCTCCATCGCGGCTCCGCGGCTCCCTGGCCGCGCTGCCTCCACCCCACCCCGGACGCGGGCAGCAGCAGCAGGAGGAGGAGGAGGAGAAGAGAGGAGGATGAGAGATATGGTGGAAAGAGGTGAGAGAGGAGCCTCTTCTTGTCCGCCTCTCCCTCTCTCTCCTTGCGGGGACCCCGCTCCGCTCTTCCTGGGGGTGCCCCGTGACGTTACGGGGGCGGGGCGAGGGGATGAGGGGCGGGGCGAGTAGCTTCAGGGGCGGAGCGTGTGGGGGGGTGAGGAGGGGTGAGGTGTGGGGGGTGAGGAGGGGTGAGGTGTGGGGGGTGAGGTATGGGAGGGTGAGGAGGTGTGAGGTGTGGGGGGTCAGGAGGGGTGAGGAGGTGTGGGAGGGTAAGGAGGGGTGAGGTGTGGGAGGTGAGGTGTGGTGGGGGGTGAGGAGGTGTGGGAGGGTGAGGAGGGGTTAGGTGTGGGGGGTGAGGAGGGGTGAGATGTGGGAGATTGAGGTGTGGGAGGGTAAGGAGGGGTGAGGTGTGGGGGGTGAGGTGTGGTGGGGGGTGAGGAGGTGTGGGAGGGTGAGGAGGTGTGGGAGGGTGAGGAGGTGTGGGAGGGTGAGGAGGGGTGAGGTGTGGGGGTGAGGTGTGGGAGGGTGAGGAGGGGTGAGGTGTGGGAGGGTGAGGTGTGGGGGGTGAGGAGGGGTGAGGAGGTGTGGGAGGGTGAGGAGGGGTGAGGTGTGGGGGGTGAGGAGGGGTGAGGTGTGAGGAGTGATGAGGAGTGGTGAGGTGTTGCTCTGCCTCCCTTCTATACTCTACAAAGACAAAGATCCCCCGTATAGCCTGTAACAGACTGTTAGGGCAAGTGCTGTTTGCAAGCACCTGTCGGGGATGCTGCCCCCCGTCTCCCCGCTCCCTTGTGATCCGAGGCTCTCCTCTCCCGTACTCGGGGGAGGGATACTGCCCTCCGGCTCTCCTACCCTCACCGTTGCTGCTCGAGGCATGGACCGCGGCCGGCACCGGGGCCGTGCGCGCGCACAGCCGATTGGAGGAGGTACCCCGGAGCCGATTTAAAGGCCGTGTGAACAACCTCGCGTGCCCCCCTCGCCCTCGCTAACCACATCGTTAATCTTGCGTACGCGATGTGCGTCTACCTCGCACACACGTTAGCTACGAGTCACACGTAGCGGCGAGCGTACCCAAACGCGTAGAATACCCGCTGGTGCGCGAACACAGGGCACTCCACCGAACAGTTGGGTGTAAATACAGTGCACCCCGGCGATCCGACTCACGACACCCCACCCTCCTCTCCGCACTCACAGAGACCACACGACACGGTTTATACGCTACTGACGATTTATTCCCCGCGAATAAACAAACTGCGCGTGTCAGTGTGGGCCAGCAGGGCAGGTATAGCCTCTGGTCTGGGACTCAGTCTATCTTGCCTCTCGCTCCACTTACTCTCCCCTAGTTGTAAAAGCCCAAACTCTTCTCTCTCTTACGTATTCGCTCGTTACGCTGCCCCACCCTCTACCTGCCTGCTGACCCGTGTTGAGTGTGGGTGTTGTCTATCCGCGGTGGCTCAGCAGCCCCGCCGTGACCACGTGACTACAACCCAAGTCACGGCGCCGCGGTGCGAGTCAGCCTCGGGGGAGGTCGCCCGGTTCCCTGGTCGCAGGAAACCGTGAAGCTTGGTCCCGTGAGGGGCTTCTGGGTGAAAACCTGCCGGCCAGGTGACCTCCCCTCGGGGCTCTATGTGGGGGGTATGTGTGTGTTCATGTGGGGGCGCTACGTGGGGGGTATGTATGTGTTCAGGTGGGGGCTCTATGTGGGGGTGTGTGTGTGTGTTCACGTGGGGGCTCTACGTGGGGGGTATGCGTGTGTTCATGTGGGGGCTCTACGTGGGTGTGTGTGTGTTCACGTGGGGGCTCTACGTGGGGGGTATGCGTGTGTTCATGTGGGGGCTCTACGTGGGTGTGTGTGTGTGTTCATGTGGGGGCTCTATGTGGGGGGTATGCGTGTGTTCATGTGGGGGCTCTACGTGGGTGTGTGTGTGTTCATGTGAGGGCTCTGTGGGGGGTATGCGTGTGTTCATGTGGGGGCTCTACGTGGGTGTGTGTGTGTTCATGTGGGGGCTCTATGTGGGGGGTATGCGTGTGTTCATGTGGGGGCTCTACGTGGGTGTGTGTGTTCATGTGAGGGCTCTACGTGGGGGGTATGCATGTGTTCATGTGGGGGCTCTACGTGGGGGGTATGCGTGTGTTCATGTGGGGGCTCTACGTGTGTGAGTGTGTGTTCATGTGGGGGCTCTATGTGGGGGGTATGCGTGTGTTCATGTGGGGGCTCTACGTGGGTGTGTGTTCATGTGGGGGCTCTACGTGGGGGGTATGCGTGTGTTCATGTGGGGGCTCTACGTGGGTGTGTGTGTTCATGTGGGGGCTCTATGTGGGGGGTATGCGTGTGTTCATGTGGGGGCTCTACGTGGATGTGTGTGTTCATGTGGGGGCTCTATGTGGGGGGTATGCGTGTGTTCATGTGGGGGCTCTACGTGGGTGTGTGTTCATGTGGGGGCTCTACGTGGGGGTATGCGTGTGTTCATGTGTGGGCTCTACGTGGGTGTGTGTGTGTTCATGTGGGGGCTCTACGTGGGGGGTATGCGTGTGTTCATGTGGGGGCTCTACGTGGGTGTGTGTGTTCAGGTGGGGGCTCTACGTGTGTGTGTTCAGGTGGGGGCTGTATGTGGGTTGGTGTGTGTTCATGTGGGGGCTCTACGTGGGGGGTATGCGTGTGTTCATGTGGGGGCTCTACGTGGGTGTGTGTGTTCAGGTGGGGGCTCTACGTGTGTGTGTTCAGGTGGGGGCTGTATGTGGGTTGGTGTGTGTTCATGTGGGGGCTCTACGTGGGGGGTATGCGTGTGTTCATGTGGGGGTGGTGAGCGACGAGCAGCGTCGGCCCCGTCGCCCGGAGGTGGCGGCGTCGCGGCCACTGGGTCAGCAGAACGGCTTTGCTGCTGCGGCCTCACGGCGGCGGGCCCGGCCTCACGGCGGCGGGCCCGGCCTCATGGCGGCGGGCCCGGCCTCACGGCGGCGGGCCCGGCCTCACGGCGGCGGGCCCGGCCTCACGGCGGCGGGCCCGGCCTCACGGCGGCGGGCCCGGCCTCACGGCGGCGGGCCCGGTCTCACGGCGGCGGGCCCGGCCTCACGGCGGCGGGCCCGGCCTCACGGCGGCGGGCCCGGCCTCACGGCGGCGGGCCCGGCCTCACGGCGGCGGGCCCGGCCTCACGGCGGCGGGCCCGGCCTCACGGCGGCGGGCCCGGCCTCACGGCGGCGGGCCCGGCCTCACGGCGGCGGGCCCGGCCTCACGGCGGCGGGCCCGGCCTCACGGCGGCGGGCCCGGCCTCACGGCGGCGGGCCCGGCCTCACGGCGGCGGGCCCGGCCTCACGGCGGCGGGCCCGGCCTCACGGCGGCGGGCCCGGCCTCACGGCGGCGGGCCCGGCCTCAGCGGAGCGGCTTCGTTGCCGTGGCACCACACACCTATGAAGGCCGGCACGGCACACGAGAGGTTTCTGGTGGCCGGCACCACGCCCGGCCGCCTTTGTCTCCCCCGTGGCGATGTTACCACACTGCACCAGGCCCTCATTTGCGGCTGAGTCTACCTAGGTGAGGCCCAAGACCGGCTCAGATAACCGTCACCGGTGTTGGCCGTGGGCGCAAATCGAACTCGTTGTCGCCGGGTTCGTAGCGCTAAATTCACGACGAACAGCGGCAGGTCGCATCGTGCCTCGCGGTGTTGAGCGTCTCGCATGAGCGTCTTGCCCCAGCGCGCCCTTCCTTTCTTTAACCTTCCCAAGGAAGACGAGGGTCACGCTTTCGTGGGGGCTATCCTGGGGTGGGGGGTGCCGGTAACACATTCACCGCACGCCTACAAATGTTAACGATGTTGTGCGTGACCCCCAACCCCGCTGAGGCGGGGGGAAGAGGCTGGGCACGGAGAGTTGGCTCGGCGCTCAGCGGTATTTATTATTATTGTTGTTAGTGTTGTTGTTCACGCTGCGATCTCAACACGCGCTACATGTGCAGTCACAGTGCCGTACAGTGCAGTGAAACCTTGGACTGCGAGGAACTTGGTCTGCGAGTGTTTTGCAAGACGAGCAAATTTTTTAAATAATAATTTGATAAACGAGCGATGTCTTGCAATACGAGCAGTACGTACAGTACACACTTTGTCTGCCGAGCATCACGTGATCACAACTGAGCCAATGGTTCGTCTCGCTGCGGGATTGTGGGTAATCATCTCCCATGCTCGGTCTCAGTTGGCGTGCTTCACTCGCATAGTCAACATCCGTGCAAGCGTATACTGTTTACTATAGTACTATAGTGTTGTGACCACGTGTATACTGTTTACTATAGTACTATAGTGTTGTGACCACGTGTGTACTGTTTACTACAGTACTATAGTGTTGTGACCACGTGTGTACTGTTTACTACAGTACTATAGTGTTGTGACCACGTGTGTACTGTTTACTACATTACTATAGTGTTGTGACCACGTGTATACTGTTTACTATAGTACTATAGTGTTGTGACCACGTGTGTACTGTTTACTATAGTACTATAGTGTTGTGACCACGTGTGTACTGTTTACTTCAGTACTATAGTGTTGTGACCACGTGTATACTGTTTACTATAGTACTATAGTGTTGTGACCACGTGTATACTGTTTACGACAGTACTATAGTGTTGTGACCACGTGTATGCTGTTTACTACAGTACTATAGTGTTGTGACCACGTGTGTACTGTTTACTATAGTACTATAGTGTTGTGACCACGTGTATACTGTTTACTACAGTACTATAGTGTTGTGACCACGTGTATCCTGTTTACTACAGTACTATAGTGTTGTGACCACGTGTATCCTGTTTACTACAGTACTATAGTGTTGTGACCACGTGTGTACTGTTTACTACAGTACTATAGTGTTGTGACCACGTGTGTACTGTTTACTACATTACTATAGTGTTGTGACCACGTGTATCCTGTTTACTACAGTACTATAGTGTTGTGACCACGTGTATCTTGTTTACTATAGTACTATAGTGTTGTGACCACGTGTATACTGTTTACTACAGTACTATAGTGTTGTGACCACGTGTATCCTGTTTACTACAGTTCTATAGTGTTGTGACCACGTGTATACTGTTTATTATAGTACTATAGTGTTGTGACCACGTGTATACTGTTTA